CGCAGCATATAGTCCAGGGATGCCATGGCATGTACGTGCATGCCACCCACCGGCTAAGGGTTACTGAAGGAGCCAAATCGTAGAGTGCTTATATCATGAATTCAAGATCAAAATGAAACAAGCAAACAAACTTTTTTTCTGAATGCAAAAAGACCAGTTCCATTTTCATACTTTAGTGCAGTAAAAAACAAAGTCCAAATGTATTAGTCGACTGGGCTGATTTATTATATGTACACTTTGTATTATTGCCATATAGAACAAGAAATTCTCTTTCTTTTGTTTCATTTTGTTAATGTTTCAAGAAATGAGAGAGGTAGGAAAAGGTATGATTCAGAATGAATATTTTCTCAGTGCAGGAGATGTATTGGATTAGTTTTGACTATCTCTGCATCAGAAATACATGTATATCAAATGAAGAAATCAGCCAAATACATCTCTTGCACTGTGAAAATATGAATTCTCATTCACACCTCTTTCTACATTTGTTAGTGATGAACCCTGTTCAGAATGAGACCAGTCTGAAAAATACAAAATATTTTAAATGGATAACAGATGAAGAAAATTTCAGTAAACTTTCAGAGGCAAATTCCCAATTTAACCCCCATGCCCAGCCCAGCTCTTCTTCAAGACACGCTTTTGAATGTATGATCATGGGAGTGGTATCATTGCATTCAAAAGAATGATGTTTGGAGTTTTGAATTTGTGTATTTCCACATAAAGTAATAAATATAAGACAAAATTCTATTTTTTCATAGCTTTAGAAATACCCTAGTTTAGATATTTTGAATTTTATCAAAAGTTGATACTTTTTGGATGGGGTGGCCATGGCCAGGGACCGGGTAACTAGAATTTAGTCCGTCATCAGTGTACAGATCGGAGTCCAATTACAACATTCACATTGTGAACCAATGCGGGAAGGGTTCTGCAAGATTATATACTTTCTTTTAAGATCCGCAGTGCTTAGACTTTATAGACATTCCTTTTGTCATTTTTGCTCATAGTTATAGAACTAAATTCCCTTAAATATTGATTAAAATGAGCAAAAGAAAATGGAGACCAACAATGTTGGGAGAGAAAACAAACAATGTTGAATATATTTTGAAGTAAATATAATCATTTTGTTATTGATAATTAATTTGTTCATAAAAATGTCTTCCTAATTGGATATTATGGATCTTACAAATTTCTTGGAATAACAGTTCATTCCATCGGGAGACTCTCCATTGCCTCCTTCATATTCAGATATTCGTAAGGCAACTTTCCATGTTGAATGAGAATTTAACCTGTTATTTTAATCCCTTATTAACCCAATGGTGCCGGGTGTACAAAAGAAAAAAAAAACTCTACGCTTAAACAAACAAAGGCGGCACGCGACTTTGAGCACGTGAGTAGGGGACATCAGCCCAAATCACTGGCTCGCCGCGCTTTGGCGTGCTGCCGGCTCGTTTGGCTGCACGCCAGCTTTCGAGCTCTTTGTTTACACGCCGATCGGCGTCACCCGGCACCAAGGGGTTAATTTTTAAGTTGAGCTGCTTTATATGGCTTAATATCTGTAGTTTTTTGGAAGCTAATTTCAGCAGAGCAAGAGGTTAGATGTAGCAACCAGCAGCAAGTGATATAGGGTGACAGTGCAAGATAAAATCAGTACACTTTTTCTTCTTCCTCCTCTTAGAGAAATATCAGCTGTCTATGAGTTCAGATATATCCTCTTACTCTTCCTTTATCTCAATTTATCTACGTTTTCTTCCCTTCTTTTAAGAATAGAAAATATATGATCTTATTTGGGGTTAAGCAGGTTAGAAGCGTGCATGTGGACATAATGAACCAATGTAAGGATTGGTGTCAGTCATGAAAGGGGGAGGGGGCTGCCTTAGACTTTTAGCACCTCTCTTTGCCTCTGCCCCATCCTTTGTCTTTGTCCCAAGTAGATGAGTATTCTAGGGGAAAATGCTTCGTATATATTCATGGTTAATGTTTGATATATATATATATATATATATATATATATATATATATATATATATATATATATATATATATATATATATATATATAATGAGCTTTAGGTCTAAATATCATCCTATGTGATGTAATAATCTTAGATCAATTCAAATGCTCTTTATCTGCAGATTAACAGTTTACCCATCTGGAAGTTACCAGTGAATTTGCATGACCCTGCTTGGCCTGAGGTAGCCATATGACACATTACCTTGTATACTGTTACTCTGCATAATGTGCTTGTGTTAAATAGAAATGGCATTTCTGTAACAAGAAATCACCATATATTGCCAGTTCTTTAGAGTTGGGTAGAACCCAGTTAAAAAAACCCAACTAACACAGTAACAGGACATTTGTTGGTAAAACTTTAATGCAGCAGAAAGCCTGTTTGCTCAAGTCAAGACCAGGCTCTCATTACTGTATTTAAAAAGATAATGATAATGATAATAAAGATATTAATAATATTAGTGACACTAGTAAAAATGCAGAAGAATTAGTTTATGAATAGCAGACCCATATTAATATAGGCTATTGAGGAGGAGCAGAGTTGACTTAACTTATGTCAAAGAAAAAAAAAAAAGGATTGTCCAACTACTGTGATTGATCTAAAAGTTTAAACAGTTAGCTTGTAGATTGGATATGGTGTCCAGGTTTACTGTTGCACTGATAAAGAAATGGAGTGCAAAACTAGACTGGAAAATTATCCCAGCTTCCCAACTTTCAAAATTGCGGGTTGTATTGTAGCCAAACTCTTGCAGCCAAATCCAGTCCTCTCCAAAGAGAAAGGTGAGATTCAGATCCTGGAATCCACATTAAAAGATCCTTCATCAGAGGAATGGCCAAACTTCTGGCAAAATCTTAAAGGCTACAACTATTTCCTACTACAAAGTCAAGGAATTTTGTATCAAGATCTCAATGCGTTGGAGGCCCCATGACTTTTTTCTTTCCATTTTTCTTCTTTTTCCTCTTGCTTCTCTTTTCAACAGTGACATTCATGCCAGGTGCCATGCAGACAGTTATTGGATCAGGAGCCAGTCTGAAGTATGGATTTCGAGCATGTTGCTGAGGGGGGGAGTTGGTAATTTGTAAAAAAAAAAAATGAGAATAGAAATAGAAAGCCTAGTTTCTGACATAAAAAGAGTACAAGCTCATTTTGGACATACATCGTTTTACATGAAATTGGTTTGGGGATGTCGTAGTGGTGTGAAAGGGGGGGGGTTCCTTTAAAAAATAGTAATAACAAAATGAATATTGTAGATCATTTTATTGATGTGCCAAAGCCTTTTTACACTTCTCACACACACACACACACACACACACACACACACACACACACACACACACACACACACACACACACACACACACACACACACACACACACTCTCTCTCTCTCACTCTCTCTCTCTCTCTCTCTCTCTCTCTCTCTCTCTCTCTCTCTCTCTCTCTCTCTCTCTCTCTCTCCTCTCTCACTCTCCCCCTCTCTCTCGTGAGTGAGTGAAAGAGAGAGAGAGTGTGTGTATGTATGTGTATGTTACATATATGAATATAGTGTATGTATATATACCAGGGTATTCAGCATTCTATCAAATAATCTTTTTGAACAATTTTTAAGAAAAAATGTCATAATTGTTGAATATAGCAAAATTTATAGTTTAGCTGACTTAAGTCATCTACAATGTTGCCATAAGGAAGGTGAAAAGTGAAGTGAATCTCACATAGATTTTGTACTGATCTCAATAGTGTAGTTATCACTCAAGCAAATTAAAGAAATTGTTCAAAGTGCTTGTTCAGACTATTTGGATTGCGCTCAGTGTCTGCTACAAATTAAGGGACGGATCCCAGTTCCGTCATTCTATCATCGACATCTGTAATAGGGGATGTGGGTGCCATCAATTTGGATGTGTTCATGGGAGAAGGCAAACTGTGTGCAGTTAAATGTTTTATGACTTTAATCAATATCATTTTAGTCTAAGATAACTAAGGAGGCTGTCATCTTTTTGCTGCAAAGAATGCTGAATTACCTTTTATACTTGAATAATTAATCTATACATATATACATGTGCATATATCTCTATATGATTAAGTGAGAATTTTGTGTGTGTGTGTGTCTGTGTGTGATGTGTATATAATTTTCATTAAACTGCAGTAAAATGTTTACTGACACTGTTTCCAAAGGCTTTTCTGTGTCTACTTTTTAGTTAAAAGCATCAAGACATTCCATAGTGAACACACACATGATAAGGGATTTTTACAATATGTAGCTTTAGTTACATTAATATTTGAAAATGTGATATAATTTATTTTCTGCTAATGGGAGAACCAATTTTCATGGTGAATGTTACTAAGGAGCATAAACACATTTTTATATATTTATTATTGCTATTTGTTTTTTGTGGTAAAGTTTTGTGGTTCGAATTTGAACAAATGTACATGGAAAACATACAAACACACAAAATGCACGTACTTGCAAAACATTCACATGCACACACAAAACAGACATGCACACACAAAAGACACATACACAAACAAAGCTCACATGCGCAAACAAAAAGCGCAAAACACACACATACACACACACACAAACATATTTATGTATATGTAGATAGAGAAATAAATGACTAAATAAACAGTGAGTAAACCTGTGTGCATGTAGCTATATACACAGATTCACAAATGGGACATTGTGTGCTTACTTCTAGCATATGTGGCAGGAATTGGGTAATAGGGAAAAATCCAGGCAATTTACTACATTGATTTTAGTTTAGAAGAGACAATCCAACTCACTTCTTCCTTGAATGGCTTTAAGATTTTTTCTTATATTTAGATGTGAAGAAAGCTTGTAAGGGAGAGGGAACGACATCAGAAACACGAGCAGTAATTGATGTGTTTTGTTTAACTCTCTAGAATTAACCAAAAGGCATCATTTACATGGTTTGTGAAGTTGTTCTTTCTCTTTTTTTTTTTTTTTTTTTTTTTTTTTTCTAAATGAGTATTTAGGTGTTTAGTTCAGATTCACGTAGTATCTTTTTCTGTCATTTGTGGTTAGGTTTCTATAGGGCTTCTCTAGGCTTCTTCCTTACTATTCATTACTGTTGAATATGTTTTGATAATGTTTATTAATATTGGTACCTAATTGTGCTAATTATAGTAGTCGGGGCGGAGGCAGACGCCGGCGATACGAGGGAGAAGATTACGGCCCCAGAGTGAAGCGCTTGAGAGGGCCGCCCAACTTCAGGGGCAGAACAGAGAAGTCAGGTAAGACAGTTCTTGGCTCTTTTCCTCATGGTTGTATGTGATGCCAAGGTCAGACTAGGATTTGCAGACAGAGCATTATTTCTTGTGTTGTTGCTGCTTTTGTCATTTGCTCTTTCTGTTAACCCCATTGGCCCCAGCTTTTTGGTCTCATTCTAGGTTTTCTTGTCAGGCACACGCTGCCATGCATGGTAGATGAGCTTACATTAGGATGAAGAACCTCTGCCTCATTCTTTTTAAGAATGAGCAAAAGCATTATTAGCACAGGAATTGCACAAATGCTAATTTCGCAGGCACATAATCTTCACAGGCTATATTTTATTATGGCTGAATTTATTTCTGTGCTAGTACAAAGTTTAGGCAAGACTACCCAACAGTAACCATATACCTGTGACATAATGTCTAGTCATTTGGAACCAGTCTGAAATATTTCATGACAGTATTACATTATCTAGTTCCAAGGCCTTAATCCACTGCTGCTGGGGAAAATGTTGTGCTCATTTTCTATATTTTTGTGAAATGTCTCTGCACATAGATGGCTCCGCTAGTGCTTAGCCACAAAGGAGTCAGTTATTAGACCTTGCTTCCTTACCTGATTTGAATTGGCGGGAAAAACGTAATTTTTGCTAGTGCCATGAATATTGATGGTGTTATTTTTATTGTAAACATTATAATTACTATAATGTTATAAACATTAGTAACAGCAAAAGAAGATAACATAAAATATTTTTGTAATTCAAAGAAATGGGTAAACTGGCGAGGCAAGCAGTACTCGTAATTGGCTCATTGGTCAATTAGTACAAGTGTAGCCATCTATGTGTATAAACAAATAAACAAGTAAACTCACAGTATCCGTGCCATGCCCGTCACGAATGGGTTAAAGTTTCAAATCACGCAAAAGTGAAGAAAGAAGTACATTTTCTAAATAGAAAACTTATTGTTTATGTTTTGTATTACTCATGGCAAAGTATTTCTTAATGTGACCCAAATCTTCCCTCTTTCAAACAAGCTTCCTACACACGTGAGAGAGTAAGAGAGAGATCACCAGTGTACCGCAGTGTTCCTCGAAGAGAGAGTGCCACATACAACGGCACAAGTAGCCACAAATTGGTTAGTATAGAGAACATCATTGACTTGTTCAACTTTGTTTAGTAATGTTCTGAAAGTTTGTCATGATGCCAAACAAAACCATGAATTTCATTTTGAATAAAAAAGGAGAGAGAAAATATTGATATCATTAGAATATACTTTCTTAGGTTTGTTAATGTATTCTTGGATATATATTTTTAAATTTCTTTTCTTTAATTTTTTTTTTTTTCTTCTATAGAATGGTTGTAAAAATTTCATAGATAAGGACAAAGGACATAAATTTGTATTGATATGTTGATATCAGCTTGAATATGTAGAGGCATCCAATACTATGACTATCTATTCTATATTTAGAGAGTATGATATTCTTTGGTCAGTTTTAAACATGCTCATAAAGCAGTGTTAGGAATCCTCTTTTCAGACATATCAGGACTTCATGAGAGAGATGCGGGATTTCCACTCCCGTGCACCAAGTAACCTTCCTCCCATGGCCTTCCCACCTCCCGTAAGTAGCTCTGTTTTGTCTTGTTCTTAGGGTCATTAGGAATTGTTGAGTCTGATTTCCAGTACTGTCACTTAAGATAACTGCAGTGATTTATTTTTCTGTTTCATATACAATGATGATGATGATCATGTCAGTGTATTTTACTTTATCCTTGCTGTGTCTCCTTGCTGTGTACAAGAATAGCTTTAGTCTACATAACAGTCTGCTTGAATGTTCTCTAGCTAATCTATTTACTGTCATTTTCTGTGCACAGCCACCATTTGACCCTATCGGACCCCCAAGATACTATGATGGACCTCCACTGCCCGAGTATCCATCGTCCCGCTCACGCTCAGAAAAGAGACAGTCTGCTGACGTAAGGATGAAGCCTTTTTTTCGGTTTTACTGCTCTTGCAACATACACTTGATCACTCTCTAATCAGCATTATGTGATTTTGTGTATTGCAAGAATAGTGATTTATATAGCTTTTTTGTCAGTCTATTCAGTTATATTTTGACTTTCTTGTTTTTATCGATAAATGGATTTGTAATGTGTGGTTTGTACTTTGAGAAGGTTCATGCTTTTCATGAAATTCATAGCTTCACCAAGATTTGGCCTTGCAGCAAACTAAACACTTTAGTCCCATGTTGCTGGGAAAATATATGGTTCACTACAGTATTGTTTTGTGAAATGTCTTTGCACATAGATAGCACCAGTATCCTTTAACAACATACTTCTTAATATTTTTATAAGTTAGAAAAAGTAAATTGTTGTAGATGTTCTTTGTTAACCCACTCATGCTGGGTGATGTCTTATCGTGCAATGAGCCTGGATCTCGGCAGCACGGATGATACGTTTTGAGCCTGGCCATGACTCCAGGGCTCCTACAAGGAGTGTCACAGGCTGCTGCACCCCAACTGTGTTAGACTTTGATTTTTATGCCTTGTAATATTGCAACATTAATTGGTTATGGAAAATATGTTCTTTATGATTGTTATTTCATTGTTTTTGGCACTTTTTTTGTATATACTGACTTTTACTATGTTAAATCATAGGGTAGATATTACTAATATCCTTACTGATGGCAGTAATTAAATATTTTGATTACCATGCTACGTTAATATTTGTCTGTCAATGAATACATCAATTTTTTAGAAGGTATTTCTGATCAATAAGTTTTTGTGTATGTTTATTGAACAGAAATTCTTAAATAGTTGGCATGTGATAACTTGGTGACATTCCATAATTTGTGGGAAATTTCAGATACAATTGTCCCCAAAGATATCAAATGACCATTCACAGTTGTAGACTAACGGCAAAAAAGTAAAGTATTAAGGATGCAGAGCAATTTCAAATGTCATGAAATCAGCTGATTCATTGTTCTTCATACAAAGCAAGCAGTGTAATGACTACCTGTTGATCTTGGAAGTGTTCTGTGATTTTTTTTTTTTCCTATTTCATTCATATATATGTTTTTAAAAATTCTTTTGACAAGTGTACCCCCCCCCCCCCTCACAGTGGGAGCCCCCAGCATCATATGAAACCAAATATTGGGGTGCTTGGGGAAACTATGCTTAAAAACATTTTGCAAGGCTCACTTTCATAAACAATATTTTCAGGAAATGAATAACATTCATTCTTAGAATATTCCTTTCTATTTACAGCCATATGACAGAAGTGTCGATGAATTCCTGCAAAGAACCCGAGACAGGCGAGAACGGAGCAGGGAACGTCGATATGAGAGAAGATAAACAGGAACCAGAAAGAACATTATCTAAGTCAAATTCTTTTTTAACTTAGGAATGAACTCATAAGGAAAATATTATTTAGTAAGAAGAGTACTCTGTGAAACTGATCATATTTTTGGAATTTACACAAGCTTGTAGAAGAAAATGTATCAAACTCTATTCAGATCTTAGCATCATAAATGCTTCCAAAGGGTATTTTGGATAGCTACCTCACTAACTTTTACCTCTGCTAGACCCAGTTCCTTAAATCTGGGTCTGGATTCTGAAATATTAAAAGTGGAAAAAGAGAAAAATAAAGAGTCGATTCTTACCAAGGACACATGCAATACTAAAACATTGTATCAGAAGTAATCCAGTGTTCTGTTGTGTTGCTATACAGTTTTTAATACAGATTGAATGTGAGTATGTGTGTGCATGCATTTATGTTTGTTGTATGAGAGAATTTATTTTGTATAGCAATATTTCTGTGCATACATGTTCATAAAGCAGAACACTTTTTGTTTTTAGTGCACCTTGATCAGCAATGATCTTGTCAGATCAGTATTAACATGATATTCTATCTTGTTTGGTATTATCAGTATATTATTATTTGGAATATATATTTTTGTTTACCATTTCAATTTCCAGTATCTGCTAATAGAAATTGAAGGTGATAGTAAAATGTATGCATTCAAAATTAGTTTCAATAAAGATGTAAGAAAACTGTTTCATTTCACAATATGGGCATTTTTCTTCAAAATGGTATGAAGACTTTTGTATTATTGACTTGAAAGATGTCAAATGTAGAGTAGTATCTAAAATAATGTACTTAAGTCTTCATCTTAAAGCAGGGGACCTCTAATAGAGTGCCTTTTCTGCATGTACAAGGTACTGGTACTTTGATTTGCTTATAATTCTTCAAGAGCAAGTGATTCATTGTCAGTTTTACATTAAATAGTTTCATGAGTATTGTAGAAGCCATTTTACATGACTGCAGATGCCATCAAGAGGGCAATATTTATAATGTTTTACAAGTATGTTTAAATGGTAATTGGTAACTAGATGTAATTAGACTTGCAATTTTTTAGTAATGTCAAGTTTATTTTATTTTTTGCCTTGTCTGATAATGCACCATTGGCTTCTAACTACCTCAGTGGCAGGCTTATAGGGCACTGTCTTTTTACCTTCATAAGAAGATTGTACCTACATTGAAGAGCATTGTAAATAATATTGTTCAGCTTATAAAGATTCATTGAAAAGCACAGTATAAAAAAGACTTGGTCTTATTTTTGTAGGACTCCTGCCCTTTAGTGTGAGGTTTCTCAAGAAAAGAACTTATTTTTACTGTTCTCATTGATACCCAATAACATTTAAGATTTTCATATTTTGATGACTTCTGTAGTTCAGAATGCAAGGCGTTGAAGAACAAGACTTTCATATTTTGATGACTTCTGTAGTATGGAATGTAAAAAAATTGGCATGATCAGTACAAATAAAATTTGCTTTACTTTCATTATATACATTCATGTATCTACTTTTTGTATTGTGAAAGTAATTGTATTTGTTTCTGTTAGTGCAGTCTGTGCTATTAAAGCAATTATTAAAAATAAAGTCTTTGATATCCCAAAGTTCTTAGGTGTATAGTTTAAATCAAAGTCATTTTCCACAGGAAATAAAGTGTATTTTATATCACTTTTTTATAAACACCTTTGTCCTCTACTCTTAAACCATTGTGTTGTTTCTCCCATAATCTCATGACACCACAACCACTAATCAACTGCCATGACTATTAGATTGGTATATAAAAAAGGAAGTTTCTAGTTGAACATTAAAATAAATCTGCTTAAATCCATATAAGAGTTGTAAAGGTTTGTAAGTGACAATGTAATTGAGAAAAAATTAAAATGTCTTATTTGCAATTTGCTAACCCAGACAATAATGAAACAAATCATTTGCAACAAAGTCAATGAATACCATCCCCACACAGTTCTAAACATGAGGCACAATTTCTCAAGTATTCTGTATAGGAAAATTAGGCTTTCTCAAACTGCTGTAGAGGTCCATATTCCTTGACATTGCTGCATATTTTTTTTTTTTTAATGATGCGCAACCTTGAACACTTGAATTGCAAAACCATCATCTTCCACTGCGATGTTCCAAATCAACCATGAAGGTGGTCAGTTTCCAGCTACACTGCATACCTTTGTAGGGATGTCAGGGACAGTATAAAAATATCATTTACACTGTATAAAAAGTCTACAACGACTGTACACTATCTACATGATCCTACTTCTGCTGGACTCTCGGATGTCTGGAAGCTCCCATAAGTTCATTAGTTGCATCATGAGCAAGTGGACTCACTTCCTGTACAGAGATATACCATGTAGAAAGGATGGAGCTTAATCTCAATTTTGCATTAAATGAAGAAAAAAAAAATCATGATAGATTGTGAAATGTGTTGCTGGTACACATACTCATAGATGACAATGTGATATTCAAAATATTGTGTGACTTTTATTTTTACTATTATATGAATTCTTGCAAAAGTCTTCTGCTGATACCTTATTTTTGATGCAGTTGGTACGTAAAATTTTGAATGATGCAATATCATTACACTGATATTTTGCTGTTGTGAAATTCAATACTGACTTCTTTAGCCATTACTCATTTTTTTAGCACTCATTACTTATCCACATTAGTAAAGGGGAGGGAGAATGTATGGTCGGAAGACAGCTTGAACATTTTCTATTGATGGCAAGTTATATGAAGTTACTGAAGGGAGCTGTCCTATTATCTAATAGAGAATAGGAACACATTTCATTCCTACAGGAACTCAAACTTCCTGACCTGAGTTATAATGAATAGTTTGACCAACCAATGACTTATGCCTGCAGGCAACCAGACTTCCTCAGCAATTCCATATTAGTAGCAGTGCTTCATCTCGCATACCTCAACACCAGTGAACCATAACATTAAATGCAATTGTTAAAAATAAAATCATTCTAGGTAGTTCTAGTAATTTCTTTTAAATTACAATTATTGAAGATAATCTAAATTACTTATTATGTAAAAGTAAATCCTTAATTGTTTTAAACATTCCTCAAGAAAAGTTGCTCATCAGAACAAATGAAGCCAGCTCTATATGGATGATCCCCAGGTGTGATTCAGTAATGCCTAAAGCCCAGCATTCTGGTTGTAATGGAACTCAATTCTCAAAGTCAGCTTCACCCTGGCAAACCAAGGTTAGCAAGCAACGTGACAGATCTTTGGCATTCTTCTTTCCGCAATGTCATTCAAAGCCTTCTGAAGTTTAATACTGGTTAACAGCTAACGTCTGCACAAAATGCTGCATCCAGAAAATTTGAGCAATAATGCATGGTGCACAGAAACTTACAAGTCTATAAACTCTTTCCCCTTTCAAGAACGAGATCATAAATTGGTATTCCAGCAATCTTACTCCTAAATGGAGTACAACATACAACTCAATGAAGCAGACCTTATGGGCATCTTCATGAACACAAGTCTGGGGCATGTGCAATAGAGGAAAATCTCCTCTAAAATAGATATTTTATTGGAAAAAAAACAAAATCTCTTTAAGAAACCACATAAAAAAATGTTATGGAATATATAACACTATCACATATCATGGTGTGACAGTGGTTGTGGCCGACATGACAATGACTTGTTTGGGAAGCAATGAACAACAACAAAAAAGGTAGTGGTCAGGCAGGGCCACCGTTTGATCTGAGAAGTGAAACTAGTCCCTTCATTCAACCAACTGTGGTCCTCCCCAGTTCCCCTCCACCACCCTCCCCTCCCCTCCCCTCCCCTCCTCTGCTTCTTTGTTTTCATATGGATAATTATCACTCAAGTTGCACAACCCCCGGTGTGGAAAAAGTGCCGAGGGAGGAGTGCACGAGATCCGGTAATTTGCGGACGCTTTTAGTTCAGATCCCGGTCTTCCAAGAACCGGTATTCAAACGTGAAGTTTTCCTTCTTCCGCTGGCCCCAGTTCTCAAAGTCGAAGTAGATATATGTGCCCTATAAAAAAAGGAAAATGGCCATGTTAAACAAAACATTTTTCAAATAGTGCAGAAATAATCTAAAAAATACTTCATGTACATAAAATATTGATTTTCACAAAGAGAGAGAGAGAGAGAGAGAGATGAGGGGAGGGGGGAGAGAAAGAGAGAGAGATGAGGGGAGGGGGGGGGGAGAGAGAGAGAGAGAGAGAGAGAGATGAGGGGAGGGGGGGGGGAGAGAGAGAGAGAGAGAGATGAGGGGAGGGGGGGGGAGAGAGAGAAAGAGATATAGATGAGGGGAGGGGAGAGAGAAAGAGATATAGATGAGGGGAGGGGAGAGAGAAAGATATAGATGAGGAGAGGGGGGAGAGAAAGAGAAATAGATGAGGGGAGGGGAGAGAAAGAAATAGATGAGGGGAGGGGGGAGAGAGAAAGAGAAATAGATGAGGGGGAGAGGGAGGAGAGGAAGAGAGAGAAAGAGATAGATATAGATGAAGAGAGAGATAGAGAGATATGAGGAGAGGGAGAGAAAGATGAGGAGAGGGAGAGAAAGATGACGAGAGAGCGAGTTATAGATAAGAGAGAGAGAAAGATTTTGATGAGAGAGAGAGATATAGATGAGAAAGAGAGAGATTTAGATAAGAAAGAAAGAGAGATAGATGGAGAGTGAAAGATATGAGAAAGATATTGATGAGGAGAGAGAGAAAAGGAGAGAAAGAGATATGGATGAGAGGGGGGGGGGGGGAGAAAGAGATATAGATGAGGGGGGGGAGAGAAAGAGATAAAGATGAGGGGGTGGGGAGAGAGATGAGATAGAGAGAGAAAGATACAGATGGAGAGAAAGAGATATAGATGAGGAGAAAGAGATATATGAGGAGAGAAAGATATTCATGAGCAGAGAGAGAGATATAGATGAGGGGGGGGGGGGGGGGAAGAATGATATAGATGAGTGGGGAGGAGAGAAAGAGATATAGAAGAGGGGGGAAGAGAGAGATGAGATACAGATGGAGAGAGAGTGAGAGAGATATAGATGAGAAAGAGAGAGAAAGAGATATAGATGAGGAGAGAAACATTGATGAGGAGAGAGAGAGATGATAGAGATAAAGAGATATAGATAAGAGAAAGATATAGATGAGAGAGAAAGAGATATAGATGAGGAGAGAGATGAAAGAAAGATGAGAGAGAAAGAGATAGATGAGGGGGGGGGAGAGAAAGAGAGATAGATGAGGGGAGGGGGGGGGAGAGAAAGATATAGATGAGAGAAAGAGATGTAGATGAGAGAGACAAAGATATAGAAGAGAGAGAAAGATATAGTGAGGAGAGATAGAAAGAGATATAGATGAGAGAGAAAGAGATATAGATGAGGGGAGAAAGTGAAAGATATAGATGAGGAAAGAGAGAAAGAGATAGATGAGAGAAAGAGAGAAAGAGATAGATGAGAGAAAGAGATAGAGATGAGGAGAGAGATAAGGAGAGAAAGAGATATAGATGAGGGGGGGGAGAGAGAGAGACAGAGAGCGAGAGAGAGAGATAGATGAGAGAGTAAGAGATGAGGAGAGTGAAAGAGATATAGATGGGGGGGGGAGATGAGGAGAGAGAGATAGATGAGGAGAAAGAGAGAGATATAGATGAGAGAAAGATATTGATGAGGATAGAGAGAGAAAGAGATATAGATGAGAGAAAGAAAGATATAGATGAGAGAGAGAGAAAGAGATATAGATGAGAGAGAGAGAGAGAGATATAGATGAGAGAGAGAGAGAGAGATATAGATGAGAGAGAGAAAGAGATATAGATGAGAGAGAGAGAAAGAGATATAGATGAGAGAGAGAGAAAGAGATATAGATGAGAGAGAAAGAGATATAGATGAGAGAGAGAAAGAGATATAGACGAGAGAGAGAGAAAGAGATATAGATGAGAGAAAGAGATATAGACGAGAGAGAGAGATATAGACGAGAGAGAAAGAGATAGATGAGAGAGAGAGAAAGAGATATAGATGAGAGAGAGAGAAAGAGATATAGATGAGAGAGAGACACAGATGAGAGAGAGAGAGATATAGATGAGAGAGAGAGAAAGAGATATAGATGAGAGAGAAAGAGATAGATGAGAGAGAGAAAGAGATATAGATGAGAGAGAAAGAGATATATATAGAGAGAGAAAGAGATATAGATGAGAGAGAAAGAGATATATATATAGAGAGAAAGAGATATAGATGAGAGACAGAGAGAGAGAGAAAGAGATATAGATGTGAGAGAGAGATATATATAGAGAGAGAAAGAGATATAGATGAGAGACAGAGAGAGAGAAAGAGATATAGATGAGAGACAGAGAGAAAGAGAGAGAGGAGATATAGATGAGAAAGAAAGAGATATAGATGAGAGAGAAAGAGATATAGATGAGAGAGAAAGAGATATAGATGAGAGAGAGAGAGAAAGAGATATAGATGAGAGAGAGAGAGAAAGAGATATAGATGAGAGAGAGAGAGAAAGATATAGATGAGAGAGAGAGAAAGAAAGAGATATAGATGAGAGAGAGGGAGAAAGAGATATAGATAAGGAGAGAGAAAGATATAGATGAGAGAGAAAGAGATAT